TTAAATTAAACTTGTCTACATTATTTTGTTTAATTCATTAAAAGGCTACATTAATTTTTCAGAAAAAAAAATATTCTTTCCATTGAAGAAATAAATATACATAAGAAAGTAAGAAAAAAAAGATAAAAAAACCTGTAACGTCATTACTCAAAATCCAAAATTATGCTTCAAAATAAGGAAAAAACTCTTTATTATTTTTCTTATAAAAGCAAAACTCTACTGAAATTTACCTTAATAAAGAAATGAGATAAACCATTTTAGCTGCCAACCAAGCAATTTGTGTACAATACTTTAAAAAGTAAAATGACAGTTTTCCGGAAAAAATATTTTTTTAAATAAAGAAAAAAAGATGTGTTTTGGCTTAAGTTTACTCCAGCTCTTTCATTTCTTTTTTCTTTCTTTTTTTTTTCGATTTAGTGTTTGAAGAAACTAGGAAGTTTAACAGGATTACAAGCTAAGTTATTTAACACTTAACAACAAGATTACAAACTAAGGATTTAACATACTTTTTTAATAGTTTTTGAATAATTGCTAATTTTAATAAATATTTCGATTCATAGCACCCGATATTTAGAATTTAATGTGTTTATAACTGACAGGAAGTACAAGCATTTAATTTATAATTTATAGCAAGTGAAATAACTATAAATAAAAAAAATTTTAATACGAAATATTGGTTTTCATGCAAAGAAAAAAAAAGTTTTGGGAGTTTTAACATGGTTGCTAACTTAGCATGGTGAATATTTTACGAAGAGGACAATAAATAAAATAGAAGAGTTTTTTTTTAAAATTAAATTAATTCGAGAACAATTAAAAGCATAACTGCCCAACTAAAGAATCTCCTTATGTATGCGTGGATTTAATGTCTACTACTTCTTTTTAAATCAATCTATTACAAAATGGAACAATTCTACATTTTGAAAATCAAAATCATCAGGTAATTAAAAATAACGTTAAGGGAAAATGAAAAGAAAAGAGAGAAATTGGGCAAACAGAGGAAATGAGAAATGAAAAAAAAAGGGAATCATAACCATATACGCAACGAAAATCTAAAAAAAAAGAACACTAATTAAAACTAAAAAAGCTTTTTCATAGAGTGTATGCAAAATCTATGTTTTGTTTCATTAATAACTTTTCTATGAAATCAAGTTTAGTGTTAACTTTAAAAACAATTTTAAAAATTAAAAGTTGTGTCCCAATAATGCTTGGCAGTGGTAGACTTCTTAATTAGATATACTTCTTTGTTTTGAGGATTTCTTGTTTTATCCAAGAAAATCATCAAATGAATTTAAGGATAGAGAGAAAAAAATTAACGCACCTCGTAAATCATAAGAAATTTAGATCAAACATAATTTTCGAATCGAGTAGTGATTTTTATTCGTTAATCTTAATAAAATTTAATCAAAATTCATGTGAATCACATCATTCCTCAAGCATATGTTCAGTTGTCATGTTCATTATTTTTCATTGGTTTAATGAAACTTTAAAAACTAAGATTTATACATTACGACATACACCGAAGAGCCATTACATTATGACCACGCTCCATCTATAACAATGGGTTCGCCCAGGTTTCCATGGTTTCTCACCCACGAACAATGTTTTCATGGGGCACATTAGAACCCATAATCCTCATAGAACAATCCCTGACGTCTGTAAGCTACTTGAACATAGTTGCAGACCAGGTTCACCCATTCATGGCAACAGTTTTTCCTGCGGGGGATGGTGTTTACCAACAGGATAATGCACCATGTCATAAGGGTCGAATCGTCGAGGAACATTCCAGTGACTTTCAAGTCATGTCTTGGCCCCCAAATTCACCTGACCTTAATCCAATAGAGCATTTGTGGTCCTACTTGGAAAACCAAATTCGTGCTGCCACGCTACCCCCTCGCAATGTGAGGGAATTGCAGGACCAGTTGGTGAGCGCTTGGTACCAGATACCTCAGACTACCTATCAGCACCTTGTGGAATCAATGCCACGGCGGGTGCTAGCAGTTTTGAGGGCTAAAGGTGGTCCTACATGTTATTAGCAGGGTGGTCATAATGTAATGGCTCTTCGGTGTAAATGATATTTGATATGAAGATAAATTTTCTTTAACAAGTAGGCAAATGTTGACTAGGATTATTCATATTTAAGATTATTTAATTTTCACTATAAAAAATTTTGGTTTAAATTTGCCATCATTTCTTGTGTTTAAGTAAACTAAATATTTTTTAAAGTACAAAGCACAGTAATTTGTTTGGGTGCGTACGTGTGATCGGATGTTTTTGTGTGTTATCGAGCAAATAAATTACATGAAATTGAAAAAATAGACGTTTGAAAGAATTAGAGCGAATATATTACTAAAAATTGATGGAGAAATAGCATTAATTCATCTAAGAAAGCGTAAAAATTAGCAAACTATTATGAACGTCAATAATGCTTAATTAATTTTGGTAATAGGCACTAAATGAAATTTAAAAAAAATTAAGCTATATATTAAAAATCAAAATTAATAGAGAATATTAATGGATAATATTAATAATAAATTAATAGAGTACTTATTCGTCATGGGGAGTGGTAAAAAGTCGCCATAGTATTATTTACACCAATGTTGTTTGAGAAACAATATTTTTGTCAACCATATGTGTGTATTGGAAATTTTTCAAAATGGTTTCAATAATTTATTTAAGGTTACTTAGCCAAAAAACATTTCAGCTTAAAATTTAATTTTTTTAGCATTTAACTTTTGAAAAATAAAATTAATTATAAAATACTTTATTTTATTGAAATATAGTTTGGATTAGGAAAATTATAGAGTTTTATTCATTTGTTTTTTGACTTTATGTAAAAATATGTTTTTCCTTTTTCTAATTATATTCTGTATGAATATGTTAGTCCGTATCATTGTATTAAAAAATAAAACTTTGTACTAAATTTTTGCTTGTAAGTGAATTAAATATGCAATATTTATATCATAAATTAAAATATTGTCATTATTTAAAATTTTGAAATAGAAAATTTTTAACATTTAAAAACAAAATATAATTTTTAATTTGCTTATTTTAAACAAATGTCTAATGTGTATAACAAGTTAATTTATCTGTAAGCTATAGTTTTCCGAAGTAAAAGCAAATTTTCTAATGATATGGAATTTCTAAAAGAAATAACACAAATGAAAAATATTTTTAAATGCAAATATTTATTTCTGTTTTGATTTTTGGATATTTTCAATGTTTACTATATCGATGAATTTTGTTACATTTTCAAGTATTTTAAAATTGTAAACATTTAAAATAACATTAATAAACTTAAGTTTAAATTTAGTAAATTTTAAATTAAAATATTTATGGTAAGTTTCAAATTTTTTAATGAAACTTATTACTACTTTGAGTTTTTAATTTTCAAGAAATATACTTTAAAAACGTTAATTTTTGTTTTGTTTTGTTTTGTACTTGAACTTTTACTCATTACTTTTGAAACATGATTTTTTCTTTTTTTATATAACCATCGTTAGACAGCCGGCCCAATTTTTCGGTTTACGGCTATCAATGTTCAACTCCGTAGCCTTGTAATTTTAAATCCAATCCAGAAGACAAGGAAACTCCTGGATCAAGTATTGGGAGAAATTTACCTTCGTGGAAGACTTTTGATGGAACTAACCCGCATTTGTGTTACAAGGGGAAGAAGACCACGATACCTCCCACGGTTAGCCTGATGGCAAGGGGTCTCTAACCCATGATCCGTCTACCACTGAGGATATTTCAAATCAGTACTGTGGTCGGTGCTCCCAAGTATGATTGTCATTTACTACAGAGCACTAGTTTAGGTTTGAATGCGATAGCCAGAAGTTAAGGTCTGGTTTCTTAGGACAAGCGCCTTATCTGGGCGTCAGCGTGANCCTTGTAATTTTGAATCCAATCCAGAAGACAAGGGAATTCCTGGATCAAGTATTGGGAAAAATTTGCCTTCGTGGAGGATTTTTTGATGGAACTAACCCGCATTTGCGTTACAAGGAGAAGAAGACCATGATACCTCCCACGGTTAGCCTGATGGCAAGGGGACTCTAACCCATGATCCGTCTACCACTGAGGATATTTCAAATCAGTACTGAGGTCGGTGCTCCCAAGTATGATTGTCATTTACCACAGAGCACTAGTTTAGGTTTGAGTGCGATAGCCAGAAGTGAGATTAACAGTATCTTTGGCATTAAAAAAATTTATTTTCGTCATTTTTATCTTTACAAGTTGTACTTGAAATGTTTATAAATTTAAAACTATTGAGGTTATACAATAACTGTTAATTTATGGATAATATTAAATTATTATACAATTAAAAGTAGTACATTAGCTAAAAATTATCCTATTTAAATAATTATACTGAATGTTTATGGAAATTATAACCTTCAATTTTAATAATCCTCCCAGAAAATACTTTTGTCTGCGCTACTGCGAGCTTCTGACAAGTTAATTTTTGCAATATGAACAAATTAAATTACTTACAATTTAAAAACTTTTAAAATCATCTTAAATATAAAAATCTTAATTTGAATACATACTATGAGCTTTGCCTGCCCAATGAGTAATAGAACAAATATAAAAACTTAGCAAAAATGAAATTTACGAAGAGCAAAATGGTGCTTTAATAATAATTAATTGAATCTATATTCATAAATTTTATTGTATATAGTATCATTATAGATATTCTGTCTTTTTAAAGAATATTAATCGTTCATATTTATGATTGTACAAAGTCAAAACTATTTTTCTTATAATTATTTCCACATAGAAGTACTCATTTTGTATTTTTTATTTTTAAAAAAATGAAGTTAAAAATCAAGAGTAAAGTAATAAACAAAATAAAAATACTAAGCATAACTTGAATAGTTTTCTAACTCAAAAATGTGTTAAAAGAATTCGTAATTTCTCAACCTAAAAGATTCTGCGGAACTTTCACGAGATGGCGCAGTAGTCGATGAGGGTAAAACTGACTTAAATTATGGTGACAACCCACGGAAACACGTGTGTTTACAAGGAGCTTCATTTTAGAGTGACAATTTCTCCTCTAATTCATTACTTTAATACCTTCTCTCTTCTACTACTCATTCGTGCTTAGCAAACAATCTTAACAAACATCATACAATTTCAGGTAAGGTCTATTAAATATCTTTTTCAGAAATGATTTGTTTTTATATAAAAAGGGTTTTGATAGATTTTTTTTAAAAAAAAATATTTTTAGAGAAATATTTTTAAAAGCACTAAATTTCTATTTTAAATTAACAGATTTAACTATGTAATGATAGTTTAGTCCTTTAGCTAAAATATAAATTGTTACAAAATAGAATTAAATAAAACATAAATTTAGTTTAAAATATTCTTTTACATAACTATTAAAGATTTTGGATTTTTAAATTTTGAGAAAACAAATATTTTAGGAAAAGAAATTTGATTACAAGTCACAAATATTCTAACTTTTCATACTTAAATACTTAATTTTTCAGAAATCAATTTATATTTATAAGCATTGTATTTTACGAATTTACATAAATTGCGTGTGATAAAACGTAAATTTTTCATTCGCATTGACTTAATTAGGAGACCTCAATATTTATCTTAATGAAAATAAGACATAACCTATAAATAAAAGTATTAACTAACTAATAGACAAAAAAAAGCATAGCATCTACGATTTATCCCAGAAATATATATTATATTTCATACTACAAAATACCCAGAAATATATATAATATTGTATATTACATTGTATATTATACTTATATATATTATATACTATACTACAAATATATGCCCCAAAAATCTTTATATTTTGCTTTAAGAACGTAACAGAAATTTCAAAAATAAGAAGCTAATTTTAAAATAAAATATGCTTTGCGCTTAAACATCTTTAACTATTTATTTTTGATCAATAATAGGAAGAAAACTAATGAATTCTTAATAGTCAACTTTTCAATTATTAAAATGGAGTATAAAAGTCTACAGAAAATTTTTAGAATTTTTCAGTGGAAACTTTCTAGGTTCCTTTTTTTTAAAAAATTATTCATCAATGAACAAAGCTAAGTATAATGCATAATTAATTGTTCGGTATTCTGAAGAATATATTTGAAAATTTTGATTAAGTTACTAATATGTAAAGATATTCACTAGCTAGTGATCAGCCCGAATTACAAGCACATCACGTCTCAGTTTTATAACCCCATAGCTGAATGGCTATTTTAGTAAAGACCATGGTATGCTTCTTCATCTTCGTCTAAATATAAACTTCCTTCACAACATTTTAAAAAATAACTACGAGAATTAAATAATAATTGGCAGTATACTTATGTAAATAATCGCAAGAAAAATTTTCGAAACATTAATAACAATTAGTGTTTAAAAAAAAGTTCCGTAGTTTTCTTACGGAATGATACTCTACTGTAAATTTTCGATGAACTTTATTTAAATGTATTTATAAAGTTACTTTTTAATTTTTGCATTTAAACATTAATAAAAAAAATTCTGGGAACAAAATTATCAAGCTGGTATAAAAAATATCCAAGATAAGTAAAATGATACTACGTATTTAAACACTAAAGACAATAAATATATTATAAAAATAAAACATACTAAAATAAGCTTTACATGATCATTGATTGACCCAAAACACTTTAGGCTTAAACTTTTTAATAGAAATTCAATGTCTCGATTCAGAATTTAAAAACAATTTTAAATATTTCTACAACGGGCTTTTTTGTTAGTGTAAAAAGTATGCTCTCTTAATAAAGACAGTAGTGATCTATTTTAAATACCATATATATTTTAAAATAATTAGTTTTAAGTTAAAGTATTATTAGTTTTGAAAATGATTACATCTTCAGAATGAATTATTCTAAATAATTAATCAAATGAGTTTTATTTGATCCTATTGTTCTTTTTCTTCGGTTTCTCGTTCTTATTGTATTTAACTCTGCATAAATTTTGAAGCACAAATATCCTATATATCACTCAATATTATCTTAAATCAAAAAGTTAAATTTTTTTCGTGTTTAATACAGAGAGAAAGAAACATCCATAAAATTAAAATTAAAATCAACTTGATTTCAATTTAACATTAACATAATTATAAACATTTAACTGTTTTGGCGAAAAATAAGTATCTCATATTTCAATTTTAAAAACGAAAAATATCTTTACCATTATTTTATTAATAATCAATAAAAAGGTATTACTACCTATTTTAACATTATTAATAATTTTATACCTCTAAAATGTAGGGTATGTATAAAAATGTTTTATACCTCTAATACCAGGTTCATATTTTAGGAACCTGGTATTACAAACTTTTAATACTCGTCCCACATATTCGCAATTGAGATAATTCGAACAACAAAAGTGAAAATTCAGCAATTAGAATTTTTTTTTTCGGATCTTGCGTGTTTAAGACCCACTTTGTAGACTTAAGATCTCCTGCAGAGTTCAGAATAAGACTTTTTCCAGCTAATATTTTCTTTCTCTAAATTTATATCCCTTTCTCAACAGTTTATAACCGGAAAACTTACTTTAATGAATTCCCTGAGAAAACATTTGAGTTGAATTAAATATGTGTGCTAACACAAATTCAAATAATCTTATAATATTATACTACAGTAAGTTTATTGCTAATTAAAAATATAGTTTTTATTGGATCAAGTTAAAAAAAGAAATTTGTTTGTAGAAAAATATATATTTAGATAAGTTAATGTTGCATGTGAAATCATACTAGGAAACATTTTTCAGAGCACAAAATTATTTTAGTTATCGATAATATTAAGATGCAATATTATCAACTGCAATGGATTTGAAACCTCTAGATACTTATTTGAAATTTTTTACAAATGAGCATTAAATTGCTATTTCGAATCCTTTTTTATACATTTAATCTCTTTTATTTTGTGATATCTTTTAGGTGATTTAACATAACTATTAATTAGGCATTTAAAATAAATAATATAAAATTATCCGAATACAATATCAATTATTGTACTTGTTAACCAACACCAATTTTTTCAAGAAAGCAAATCAAATTTCAAAGAAGAATATCTAAAAAAATGTTTTTTTTCAATTATTTCCCATTATTAAAAATTGATATAATGCAACTTAAATCAGTTTTTATCCTCGTTCAATGCTTAATTTCTATAATTTCTTAATATTTCTACCTTAGTGCTTTTTTTGTAATTATTTATGGTTTCAAAACCTATATTTACCGGCTTTAAAAATTAACTCCAGATAAATTTGGCTAATTTGCTTATAAATAGATTTTAAAAAATTAACTGAATTACGCTCAACCAGCATTTTTCCACTTATTTAGTAATATATTTATTCAATACGTTTAGATTTAAATGTGCATAAAATAGTAATAGTTTTACAGTGCCTAAAAAATAAAGTAAAATTATAATAATGAAAAGCTTGCTGAAAATTACTAAATAACATTTGATACAATTTATTTTAACGTTATTTCCGCTTTGTCAATTAGGTAATCTGAGATTACTAATTCACACTCTGTAACGTCTACACTACATTTTTATACGGGTCATGCGGGTTTATTAAATATAAGTTATTACAGCTTTTTCTTTTCCATTATGCGTCAAAAACTTTTGTAGTCTTTAAACTTAATACCTCTTTTACTATCACTTTTATTAAAATAAAAACTTAGAAATAGTAACTAGTTGTCTTAGTACTTAGAAATAGTAAAACAATGCTCTGTTTTAATTTTTGATATGATTTTTAATAAGATATATTTTATAAGTATTAATTAGTAATGTTTAGTATGGATCAGATACCTGTAAATAACTTTTTTTCAAAATATGAAAGTAAAAAGTAATTATTAATTTTAATTAAATTTAGAATCTTAACTAATATTATGATAGTTTGACTTATTTACAGAGTATTGTTTCATAAATAACTCTATTGAAGCATTATTTAATTCATAAGAAGTAAGCAGCAAGTAATGACATTTCATAGTTTCTCTTATTCTTGCCATATGTAAAAGAGCATATATAGAATTAATTTCGAAATGTCATTAACTCATAATTTTATAAATAATACTTTTCTTGAACAACAAGCTAGATACAAAAAAAGTAGTGATAAATATTACATTATGTATCTAATAATCCTTTTTATAACTAATAAAGCACAAAACGTTTTAATTGTTGAAACGTATTAGTTTATGTATAGTTAAAGAAATTCCTTGATTAACGAAACTAGTTAGTCTTTATATTAGAAGGAAATTTTTCTGGATTGGTTTTGATGCGACGTTTTACATTTGCTCTTTGGGATGGCATACAGATTCTACTCGACTTCCTGCAATCTTTGCTTATATAAGGCCAAAGGAATGCATATTTGATTAATTTTGTAATAGCTTTGATACACGGATGTTATAATTGATTAATCAAATCAAAAATTACTCTTCTAACTTTAATGAAATGTCACATTACTTCATTTGAGATATCGCTGTAAATATATTCTTCAGAATCAGTTTTTTTTTTATTATTAATGAGACAGGAATTTCTAAAAATCTTTCTAATTCTTCGTTTATTTATTGTTCTTTGGTGATTTCTTCATAACTGATCGCATTAAGAAAAAAAAGTTTGAATTCTCGATAGTGTGTAATTTCCTTCTTTCTACCACAAAAACATATACGTGAGAAGTGTGTGATCTGTGTAAACAGAAAGCTTTCTTGCCTCTTTCGGCGCATAGAGATACGCCGAAAATATTTTATCGTTGTCATTTAAACTGCTTGTAATTCTTTATCATAGATAGGTACATTATTTACGTCGCACTAGAGCTGCACAATAGGCTATTGGTGATGGTCTGGGAAGCATCCCTGAGGATGATCCAAAGACATGCCATCGCAACTTTGGTCCTCTGAAGAGGGAGTTCTTTATCATTTACCAAATGCTGAGGAGAAGTTAACATTTTTGAAAAGAAAGCCAAAACGCGTTTTAACCCATTTTTAGTTTCTATGTATTAAACTGTTCCGATTCCAGAAGCTTATGCATTAACTTGTAAAGTGATCGGGTGATCGGGCTAGAGATGTCAGAGAGCATCAGTTAGTTGCTATTTACTTAAATCGATAGGTTTTGTTGTCAAATTGGTTCATTGTATTTTTCATTG